AGTCAGTGTGAGATTTCATTTTCATTTCCCCTCTTATTTTCTTCAAGGATACAAAACTGGCTCTACCCTCTCTGGCCTTTGAGTCTCTTTATTAGACAATGAGAACCTTGACCAAATCCTGAATCATTCACTTTTTAAATATTCATTTAGTGCATGACTGTTTCGACACATGGCACATGACAAGTTTCAAAGAGTTAAGGATACGAGAACCCTTTCCCATTTGGGTGCCTGCCTTTGGGAAATTTTGAGAGTTTCCTTCCTCAACGGAAGATGGCATTCTACATCCCCTCAACAATGAGTTGTAGGAGAAGTCTCTACTTCTCTCTACAACCTCACCTCTTATGAATGCTTCCTTCTATTAACCCTTGAGTGAGTCACGCTGATGCAGGCTGATAACCCTCTGGTGGACATGCTTCTCCCAGAATAAGTGTTGACATGAAGAAGTCTCCAGATCCCCTACAGCCAGACCAGTGATCCGAAATTTTAACCACATTGGATCCTGCCTGCACATCCTGCCTCTGGCTCCACACCCACCTTTCCGCCCACAGCGTGAAGCTGTGACCGACCGCAGAGGCAGACACTTGCAGGGTGGTCCTCTGATAACACCCTGGGGGCGAGAGACATGAAATATTTATTGACTGCAGGCCAACGTTACAGGAACGCTGGCTGAAAGCACTGCAAGGGTGCCTCTGTAACACTCAAGGTAGACACGACAACATTTGCCAGCCCCCTCAAATGTCCTGGGGGAGGTTCGTTTGCGCTAAGCCTAGCAGCCCCCAAAGCAGCAGTTGTTCTCAAAGGGAGTCTGATACAATCCTTTGTTTAAGACCAAAAGTGGGACGTAGAGTTTTTTTTCAAGTGCTAAATTGTTAATTTCCCAGATTCCCGAAAACAGGTTGAAAAGAGCTGAAAGGTTAGGCAAGATTCAGGGCTGCATTCAATTTTTCATTTTTTAACCTACGCACTTGTTTCTATCCTGTAGACACCTTCATCATGGGAAATAAATCAGACTCTGGGAGGAAGAGAAACACCAGTTTCTCCCATTTTTAAGCAATACTGAAATTAGATATCCATTGATCTCCTATCCTAGCTGTCAGTTCAACGTTACAACAAATAGAATTGGAGATCTCCCTAGAAAAGCGTACATCCCATTTTCACATGCTCTATTGGGCTCCTAATTATTTTTCAATGAGTATAGGGTAATCTTGCATCTTTGTCAATAACCAATGGAAAACATGCTAAAAATTTCCAAAGGGAGTGCCAAAGGAATGTGTGAAGTTCTTTCAAAGCTATAATGTAACCCACAGCTTAAGCTTTTGGGTCTACTGTGATAAGTAGTAACCTAACATATTAAATTCCTTTGGCAAGAATAACTGTCATTTTTGAATGACACTAACTGTGAACTGGATGGAACACTCAAAAGAATTAATCCACTGCCCTGATAATATAAGCAAGAGTGTAAGTTTCCCCTGAAACAGGTGCTATGTTTAGTTCTATCTCCAAAACCGCAGCACAGTGCCAGTATCTTTTAAGGAGTTAAATAACCATTGAATTTTCATTAGAAATTTATTAGTGATTTCTGCCATAAATGATTAGCAACCAAGAAATCATTATTCCCTTAGTCTGAGTAAGTTCCTTTGGACTTTGCTGGACCGAGTTAATTTCTCATCATTAAACATTAAACTCACTTGACTAGCAGAGAGATCTTGTGGTTTGTGCTCTGCACCAGCACACTGGGCTATGTCTTTTTCTCATTTGATCTCTTGCTCTCCAGACTGTAAAAGCTGAGAATCTCAGGCAACCTGATTTCTAAGGTGAAAACAAACTCTCACTCAGAACCAACCCAGTTTTATTTCTGAGTGATATAACAAACGGGGCAACATAAATGGGCATGGCTTTCCCTCCTAAGCGTTATTTACAGGAACTGCAGGTCTCAGAGGAGATTTAGCGTAGTCATTGCCGTGACTGTTGGTCTTTCATTACCTAAACAGAAAACTTGTTTTCACCCCTTTGTAATGCACCTTGTATGCACAAAAAAAAAGAAGAGAGAGAGAGAGAGAGAGAATAGGCAAGGAACATACAACTTTTTGCTGCTTTTTGCTTCTAGATTTTAAACTCTTTCTGCCCTGTTAGGATGGTGGTTGTGTGGGAGGTTTGTGTTTCGTCTTCCAATACATTTAATACTCCAGTATAGTTACACTTGATCTCAGGGGCACTTTATGGAGAAGAATGCAGCACAACTAGCAAACTTTAAAAAATGTAAAGCTGTAACCTGTGTCAAAGCATGGAAACAAGTTATGGAATGCACGCATCCCACAAAGAGAGCCTGGTGGTGAAACGAAGCAGGGTTGTTGAAGCAGAGCTGTAATTGTACCCCAGAGAATAAAAGACACTGTGTTGCCTCCTCAGCAGAAATTCACCTCCCTGGATGAAAATCTGATAAATCTTCCAGTTTCCCACAGAGGGAACGACAGAGAATTTAATGAGAAACACATTGGCACCGGACCTGTCACTGTGTGATTATGCATTCTGTAATCTCTCTGTAAGGGACAGAAAAACACGGTCTTCTTGGAGAGTGTTTATCTGAGAAAAGGGGGAAAAAGCACATCTAGAAACAAATTACCGAAAAGTAATGTCTTCACGCTCCCACTGATACCTACTGACGTCCCACCGGACTGCTTGTTTGGCCTGCAAATAGCAAAGTCACCGGGATTTGCACAGTAACCTATTTCTATGATTGCCAATTAAATTGAAGTTTCATACGATGACTGATTTATTGATACTTAAATGCAGCTTGCAAGGGCCTGATAGTTTTAGTCTGGACTTGAGATCTGTGTTTGAGAAGTCCAAGGACAGTGAGTGCCACAGCCAGAGTTCTTACTCTTGTTGCTGGAGCCATTTCACATCTTGCATGAAATTATTTTTTTTTCCACATGAAATTCTCTTAACCATCACCATCATCTTCATCAAATAAATCTTATCCAGCACTTATATCCATCCTATAAGCATTTCTGAGCACTTGACATATTCCAGGAACCTACGAATATAATTATATAGGCAGTACTTTGAATAAGTAGAATGTCCAATAGCCTCCACAAAGTGTTTAAGTCAAAGGAACACATTATTCAAAATTGCTATCAGCTAAGAGCATTTCTTAAGTTCCTTCTATTAGGCTGCACTTGCATTGGACAACGTGCAAGGAAAGAGCAGCTATATTCCCTGCAGAAGTTCAAAATCTGAGAATACGCTGATGTTAACCTCAAGGAACATACTGAATAAGTATCAAGCCAATAAAAACGTATTTCACCAGCTGAGTGCCTTGAGCTCGCCAGCAGGATCTCAGAAAATACTGACACAGTGGAATAGTAAGGGAATGGTGATGGAAAGTTATGTCATGAGCTATACATATTTGAAGGAGTGGTGTCAACAAGATTACTCATATTTCTTCATGAATTTCTAGAAGGCTTCATGGAGAAAGTGGGATTTTAGTCAAAACAGAGTTGTTAAAAAATTACATGTTTAATTAAGTTCTTAGAACTATTTATTATCAACAATGATACTACCCTGACCAATCCTATCTGGGTTAATTCAGATTTGCAAAGTCCCTTATGCAAAGATAAGCCCAGAATTGGTCCCCGTCTTTTAAATCTCTTCATCTAATCTCACAGATCATTTTTTTCTTAATCTAAGACAAGTCTTTTAAAAAATATCTGTTTATTACTGTTTTGACAATTTTTTTCATGTGGTTGTCTAGTTTCATCTGGATATAGATTTTTAGTTTTACCTGAAGAGGAACCATGCCCTCTTTTTGGTACTTCTACATTTGAAGATTCATGCAATTATTGATGATGAAGCTGGAAATAATGTCAGAGATCATATAGCGGAACGAAGCCCATAGAGTGACTTGTGATAATTATACGGCAGTCAGGACAAAAGACAATTTAGTAAAATAAAAAGTATGTAAGACTTCTTGATTCTAACCTAGTATTTTTATGACATAAAATCATTTAAATAGCAATGGATGAATTGTAGTTTAATTTTCTGATGGTATGTGTGGACACTGTATGTGATTCTTAGGTATAAAAATGCCTCCCCTGACTCAGGCCGAGTTCTCGTCCTTTCTCTCCCAGGAAGTGAGATTGAGGAAGTAACACTTTTCTTGGACAATGCCTAATCATAGGATAATCTTATTTCAAAAACTAACTATTACAATTAAACTGACTTCTAAAAGAAAAATAAAGGAGTCATGTTCATTTACCCAAAAACTTCTTTCAAAATTTGTAAAAAGATGGTTGGCTTAAAAATAGATTTTACATGATCAAAATTTAGATGTAGCAATGAAATAAATCTTAACGAAGGTATAGAATTCCTTGGACAAGTTATTTTTGTTTGCTTCCCATCACAGCAATGTCTACAATACTGTTTCTTCTTTTAAAAATTAACTGTACAAGAAATTTTCTGCAGCTGTAAAAAATGGTGCCAGAATTCAAGTTTACAGGTAGTGCAATATTCTCATTTCCTTATTGAAAATGTCAGAAGTCATGGCTTAGTCCTCTCTCTTTTGGAAGGGTAAAAATGTTCAGTTTCTTACTTCAACATCAACTTTATAGAAAATTTGTCTACCAGATTTATACTGTTTTATTTTCAGGTACAAGAAATAAAAGCATCTAAGAAGATATAATTGTTAAATTTGGAAATTTTGTCAGTGTCCTTTATAACTGTCACACAATTTTGAACAGCTGAGTCACCATAACTCAACTAAAAGAACTAAGTTAATTTATATATACCCACATTCTCAAATTAGTTTCTTTAGAAGGAGGTGATGGTATATTTTGTGAAATAGAAACCACAGTGTTATCACATCTTATTGAAAACCTCTATCTCTGCTGATGTTCCAAATAAAGAATATCTTAAATTAAATTAAACATAATATAATTAATAAAACTGAAATGTTAGTCTGAAGGTGTTTGTCATCCCTCTTCTAGGCAAATGAGGTTCCTAAATTGTAAGGTAAAATTCGTTGACATTTTTAGGTGAACACAATCACAATTAAATAACTTTATTTAATGTCAGATAAATCTAATCACTTAAAAAATCACCAAAAACTACATAAGCAAAGATCTCCTTAAAAAGTGCTAAATATTAGTGAGGATTATATTTATACAGGTTTCTTCTACATGAGATTTTCCAATTAATTAATTTAGGTAACTATGCTTTGGTGAGCTTTACTTAAATGTAATTGTGTATGGCCAGTAAACTAAAGATAAGTGTAATTTAAAGTTGTTTTATTTTTTAATTTTAGCTTGGCTTTAAATTTTGAAATTAATGAGTCCTGATTAGCATAATGTATATTTGGTAGCTATTCTACTTTAACCTTCATATGCTAATCAAATCAAAGAGTACAGATAAGGTGTTATTTTTTAGTTTAACATAAACTACCAGCAACATTTGCCTAATACAATATATGCACTAATTTAATTTGCTGTTAATCATCATTAATATCATCTTTCTCTTGCCCATTTAGGAACACATGTCTACCGTTCTCCTGTCCTGCAATTTTATTTTTCAGATGTACTAAGAACTTGATACACAGTGCGTAATTCTTAACACTATATTAGAATAAACTAGAGGATTATTTTTAGCTTTATACCATGTATATAAGGTGATATGCCAATTGGATAAGAATTGGACATACCTTGGTTTGCAAAATTTCATTGTTTCATTTAATCCAGGAGGTTTTTAATGTATAAATTAATTACGACTTTTGTAGCATTTTATTTTGTTCTTTAAAAATCATGCGTTAAATCCAAATGTTTAACCAGATTATTAGTTTTACAATAAGACACAGAGTATGTGTGTGATGTTTTAGTTGACGGATGGATTTTATATATTATATATAATATATGTGTGTATAATTTGTTTCCATTAAAACAAAGCTATCTGCCTAAGTGGTAGTAACTTCGATTTTGTTGAGTTTCCACGTTGCGTTTGTGCACCAAAATAAACCATACTTTGTTCAAAAAATAAGTTTAGCAAATTCCTTATAAGAAATACGCTTAAATGCAAACAACAAACTTACTGTGAACTCTTTTGCTCTTCCTATGAGACATTCTTTTAAACATTAGCTCTACCTTTCCTATTGCCTCATTTCTGAAGATAAATACTTATATTTCATAGAACTCCATAAAAATGACTACCCAAGAAAGTAAATTGTGTAAATTCTCTTAAATTAAATTGTCTGTGATTTATGCCCAACATTCAGTATTTGGGTTGATAGTTAAGTGCCATTTTCAATGCATCAAATTCCCAAATTAAGTTTCCCGTATCACATGGCCAACTTTTTAAAAACATACATCAGAAAGTTTCCTTACAAATGGGGCAGATCTATTCACTGGGATGGTTACGTTTAGGATAGGAAACTCAAAGGGTGTTTGACTGAGTAATAGGAGTACTTTGACAATGGGACTTGACGTGGAAAACTTATTCCACTAAGTGGGTTGCTCCCTGTGGATCTATACAGTGGGGAGAGCAGAGGGTCATGGAAGAGGTATTTTAAGCACTCTGGTTTCATAGTGTATGCTTGAGGGACAGAATAAAATGTATTCATCCAGCTGTTAAAGAATGAGGGCAGGGGTTGATAAAAGGACAAGTAAAGGCGAGGCGGAATTAGTACCAGTAAATGCTGTGAACTCAGTGTGCTTGTACCTCTAATCCTTTCCTTATCTACAGCTTTTAATTCTACCAAAAAGAGTCCTTATATTTTTTCCTTACTTCTAACTCATTAATGTCCAAGCACCAAAGAGATAGAATTCCATATACGATCATGAATTTACACACATACACACACACACACACACAAAACCAGGCTGAGCCTTTGGTGCTATTGAAGAGAATTTAAACATTTTAAGATGTAAAACTAAACTTACATGATCTGAGGTATGGTAAAAATAATAATAATAATAAAAATTAAAAGTGCAATGAATAAGAAAAATGAAAGGGAAATCCACTTGTTACAAATGGGCTATAAACATATTTATAATTCATAAACTGTATTCAAATGGTTGTTTTATGTCTTATTAATTAAAATAATAAAAGTAAGAAAATATGCTCAATGCAGAGGTATGTTTTTTTAAAAAAACAAAAAACAAAAGTTAATAAAATATTTTTATCTGCATCAAAATATTCTTTGGAAACCAAAAATAAAAAATGTACCATGTATGTTTTTTCAGGTTGATCTGTAAAAGTCAGAAAAGTACATAGTTCCCATCATTCAACTTTCTGGAACCAGAGTACCAGGATGCGTCAAGCATAAAGCAAAAGGCTTTATGTGGCACTGAACTGAAGCAGTGCGCTCTTCATGTTGGTACAAAGAATTCCAGTTCAGTTCCTATCAGAAAACGTTTTTGTTTCAGTCAGACTGAAACAAATGACCTGGCTTCGATGCAGTGTAGTAGAGATGAAGCTGTGTCCGAAACTCTGTCTTCAGGGCACTAAAAACACCTAGGGAAACTCTTGAGGGGACGGCGCGGTTCCTCACGGCCAAGATGATAATTATCCAAAGCGAAACTTGAGTCTGTACTTCACCGTGCTGGGGCTTCTCCGAGATGTGGAAAGGGGGACCTTTGGCTTGATGGGGTTAGGTGGTTTTTTCTTTTCAGGAACAGTAACTGTGAAAGAAAGTTCCGGCTGCTCCGATTGCTTAAATCTTGGCAGAAAGTGAGTGGAGACGTGCTGGGGTTTAACCCGGGGGCTGCAGCCCCGTTTAGCTTTCCCCCTCTTGTTCAGGGCCACGTACCACTCCCGCCCCGTGTTCTCAGTTCTGTGTATCACTGAGGCATAGGTGTTATAGCTGTTCTCTTGAAATCACTCCCTGAACTTGCAGTCATCTGTAAATCTGGCCTAGGGAAAAAAGGGAGAAGAAGAAATTCAAGTAGTGAGAGTATTTTCAGCATATGATAAAATGAGGTCTTGTACTGCAAAGAAAAACCAGGAATTCCATGGACCCTTGCCCTCCTACAGCATTCTCTTTTATAAAGACACATTTTTGTTGCTTTAAAATGACTATGGTTCCCATATTCCTACTTTATTCACCTTTGTAATGCTGATTTCTGCTTACTATGTACAATCATGACATAGTTATCAGTGAATATAAAAATGATAAGAACTCTTCACATACTTAAATTCTGTTTCTCTTTAAATTACTTTGGAAGTTTTAGTTAAAAATTTAATGTTTAATGTAAAATCTGGCCCCTCTTAAGCCATCAAGAAAATAAATACTGCTGTGTTACTAAGCAACAATTGCTGGGTGAAATACGCATTCATTCAGAGAAATGGAGTCACATTATGCTTTGAAACAAGAATACATTTTTCAGTGTTACCAGTGTGATTCATGGTGCTGAGAGAGGGGTAGCATATGGCCCTATTTAAAGTTGCGTATGTTAGAGATCTTCAGGAAAACACATATTTTCACACAGTGACGCAGGAGAGTGTGTGTGATGCCAGGAAGAGAACAATTACCTTTTGGAGTCACTTGTAACACTTCAGCCAGATCTCTCTCTCATTCTCTCTCTCTCTACACACACACACACACACACACACACACACATGACATCTGCCTTTGAAATACTCACAGAAGAATGGAAAAAGCAGAGAAGTACACATCCGTCACGGTGCAGCTTGATAAGCGGCATTATGACAGCGGTGTGCAGAGGGTGCAAGGAGAGCATAGAGGAAGGGCATCTAAGAGGATGGAGGTGGCGGGAAGAGGGCAGGAGAGTCTTCCTAGAAAGGGTGACGTTTGAGCTGAGTCTTCAAGTACACCGGGATGTTAGTGAGGCAGGTGACGTGAGAAAGGATTTTCAGGGAGCAGGAACAGTGTGTTCCCAGGGCAGCATGACACTACTATACGTACTTCAGTGGGACTTCCACTCAGGATGCGTGGAGAAAGAACAAGAGATGAGGATGACAAAGTTATCCAGTACAAGCTCTGTAAAGGCTTATTTTGCCGTATGGAGGAAACTGAACAAGCATGGTCTGGGCAGAGAGTGTGAGCCGGTGTCAGATAGACACGCGATCAAATGCCAGTTCTCTCAATTCAGTTCTTAGGTTTAGGCTCCTTGTCCACAGTCCTTACACCCATAGGGCTTTTGTGAGAATCAAAATATTTTCCTTAGGAAAGGATCTGGAGTTTTCATCAAATGCAAAAGGGTCACAGGGGCTGTAGGGAGTGGGTATAGCTCAGTGGTAGAGCGCATACTTGAGCTCCTGGGTTCGATCCCCAGTGTCTCCATTAAAAAATACGAAAGTGTCCATAACCCCCAAATAATTAGAATTCCTAACCCGGACTAGACAACCAGGTTTCACAGTTTCAGGGAGCACCATTAGTATAAACTTCCTGGGCTTGGGAGTATCAAATATTTTGACACCTATGTATGTATAAGAATACTAAACACATAGATAGATAGATAGATAGATAGATAATCTTTCTATATCAAACCCAGAGATTCTCTACTGGAATTAGAAGTCCTTTCATTCCTTCGCTTTTCTAATAATGTCAAATTTTCTTCTGTAAAACAGATCACAGCACTGTAATCTGAAGGTCTGAACACTGCGAGGCAATCTACATAGAACTACCATTGATGGCCACACGGAGTTTTTGATTTGTGCAAAGTCCTGGCAGTATCAGAAGATAACCACTTTCAGAGCATTTCCAACAGCGTATTTATCTTACGTATGGTAGTTTCCTCAAGTTATTTACATTCAAGTGTAGTTCAATCAATAAATTTTTTTTATTAAATAAGAGGGCTATGGAACTATGTATGTAAGAACTCCACAAGTCTACTGGAGACTCCCTGGACTGAGTGTTTTAAAGAACCACTGCCTGTGGCTTTCTTGTCGGTCAGAAGCTACCAGCCCACATCTAGGATAAGGATACTATGCTGACTTCACTTCAGAAGAGCACACATTTATTGTTCCTGTTTTATTTTTTTAATTAAAAAAGGCTTTCTTATAAGTCTAATGTAAATTTGTCTGCTTAGCACTTAAAGGGACTTAAATGCTCTCACATTCAATTAGATGATCCCAAAGTTTTATTTTAAAATAAAAGTTTTAGCCATCTGGAATATTTTCTGCTACATAAAATGACAAGCATTTTCAAAAGGTGTAGGGGATTTCATAAAAAAAGAGTGGCAGGTATACTTATCCTGCCTCAAATTGTTTTCTTAAAATGCATTCGAAAACATTTTTAAAAATGTACAATACATCATACTTTGACCTGACTTCCAACCCTGTTTCACACACAAAAAATTATTTCCTGAAATAGAGATAGCAGTGATTGCTTTTTGCAATTTTGACAGATTTTTTTCAAGTGTAATGCATTATTTAACCTTCTTTTTTCCCTGACAATGTCAAAGAAAGTAAAAAAGGAATATGTCTTTTTTTAATTGATGTGGCCAACACACACACACACACACACACACACAGTGTGTTAACCTATAGCAATTCCATCTTACAGTCTTTCATAAGGGTGAAAACCCACTGATTCCACTCCTTAAAATTTTTCTATCTAAAAACTTTCTCTTTTCCCCCCTTCAAGATTCTTGTTCTAAAGTTCTTTCTTAAGAGAAGCCTTTAAAGGGATGGCTGTTCAGGCTGTCACCTAGGGTAGAGATGATCAGAACGCTGAGGACCCACACATGACTGGCAGGCCCTTAGCCATTCCAAATCCCACATTAAAACAGGAGTAAAGGCAGTCAGACTGTTTTGGCTTTCTTAATTGACTTCTAATTTAATGTTTTGTCTGAAAATTTCTTCCAGCTACAATGGAACAGAACCATTTGAAACAAACATTTCAGTGAGTTATTTCATCAAGAGATCTAGTTTCTTCTGGACGGATCGACTGTTCCTGTCAGTATTCCTGGCCCTGTCCAGACAAGATGGTGACCCTAAGTGGTACATCTCTGTCCCTTGTGTTACAAATGAAGCATCTTTATAGCAGAGTCACCAGCAGCATAGGCATTTAAATATATATACTTTACCATTACACAATTTTGAATTATAAATGTTTCAGGCTACTTGTAATTTTTGAAATCATCTTTGAATTATAAAAAGTCCTTTAGCAAAATATATTGTTTTAAAATAATAGAACTGGATTATTTCCTTAGAAAAAGTCAAGTCGACATAAAGACTTTTTGAACAGTTTAGGTGCGAAGTAGAGTGGTAAATCAAATTTCAAATAAGCTGAAATCAGGACTCAAATCACCTCCACCCTCCCACCATCAGCCATGACAACAAAATCAATCATTAAAATGTTTGTAAAGAACCCCATCTTTGTTTCAAATTCATTTTTTTCATAAATTTATTCAGCAGATGTTTATTGACTGTGTATCACTGTGTTAGTTGCCACTTTTACAATGAAAAACAATATAGCTTACAGA